ATTAACTCTGTTGTTGTCATTAGGAGAGAGAAAATGCTGTATTTATCTGTTGGTCATCAAGTATATGTGAAAAGCTGTGTGACTCTTGCTCAGAGCAAAACAGCATTAAGGGGGGGAAACTAAAATGCTAGAAAGCAAGAGTGCGATAGAGTAATATTTAAAGTATGTTAATGCTATCAAAAAGTCAAGTAGGGCAGCGTATCCCTTCTGCTGATCCTAAGACATCTCCAAAAAGATTTAAGCAAAGAATGAAGAATGAAAATTGGAGAATCAAAATATGCAATTATAGAAATCATTGGAAGCGGGGGAAGGATTGGTAGGAGGATCATCAACAGGACCACCTCAATTAGCAAAGAGATTAATGAGATGTGACATGAACAAATGTAGTGATTAGCACAGAGAAGTCAAACCAAGTCCTTTGGTTTATTCTGGTTCACATTTTAAAGCAACGTGTTTTAAAACTAGTATATTAAAAAGCTTTTCCTGTGCAGTGTGTAATTAAGTTATGTTGTATAAACATGGTACCATTCATGCTGAGAAATTGGCCTTGAAAAAGGATGTAACTTAAGAATACTAAACTATATTAGATGGCAAACTTCTATAGAATCAAATATTTCAAAGACAAATACATTGTGGCATAAAGTAATACTAAATGTTAAAAAGAAACTTACTGTTAAGGCAGGTCTTTTTATAATTGTTAATAGTGACTGTTGTGGTGGAGAGGCAGTTTCATGGGGTTGGATCAGTGGTAAGATCTAGTATTGGTGATGTCTTTCTGGGTCTGCCATACACACTACTTTAAATATGAGCATTTTGTAATGGCCACTGCTCACTTAAATTTACTGCTTTTTTAAGATACAGAAGAAAAGTAATGCAGTGAACAGTTCGATGAGAATGAGTGCTGAAGCAGGGGTGCAAATGCAGGCCATGTTAAATAAACATCTTATTTATGTTGGGTTCTTTTTGTCTAATTGCATTAAAGGGGATGTAAATGGCAATTGAGGTGGGATCAACATTTGAGCTCTGGTTAAACTGTTGGTGGAAAATAGTTTTGGACACTTTGTAGTTCTCTATTGCCTACCTTACTCTGTATGAGCCGCCTTACAAAATCAGCCTACCAGAAGATACTGCACAAGAGATTTGGGGTTCTCTGTTGCTTAGAGGAGAACTGGAGTATTCTACCTGACCTTCCACAGATCTTAAGAAACTTTATCAAGTACTTTATGGCTTTAGCAGGCCTATTTGTAGTTTGACTAGTGCTCAGAGCCTGTGCTGCGGCACACCAAGATTAAAACTATTTGTATCTTTGTGTGCAAGGTTGTTAAATTTTAAAAACCATTGGGCTTGCAAGTTGTTTGAAACTCAAAACTGTGTTTGTGTCTTGCTGATAGGACCTCAGTTCTCCTCATTCTCAAGGTCTGTTTCCTCTTTTTCCTTTTACCTCATAAAAATCTTGTGTCCCTTCAGTCCTGGACAGCAATTCCTACTCCTGTCGGCTTTTCTCCCTGGAAGGTGACCCAGTGCCCATCTCTATGGTCATGGGGCCGAACATTACTTCACATCTCTTCTGAGAGGTGAAATGTTTAATCCACACATCTCTCCAAGGCGCTGAGCAGAGCATTAAATTAGCACTAAGATCTTTTCCAGCACTGATTTAAGTAAGAGGGACATGGTGTATTATGTGTTTGGAATTTAGGCCAAGCAGGACACCAAGGTTAACATCATTTTGCAGCTAACTCTGATAGAAGTGTGAAGCGGGCAGCATGCGGTCGGGGAAGTTACATGCCCATTTGCCTGCAGAATGCAGCAGCAAAGACCAAACCTACTCCTGACATTTAGTTGGTGCTTGATTAGTTTCTTGATATTCTTTTTAGATTTTTTTTTTTTCTTTTTGGAATCAAACACCAAAATTCGGGTTGTGATTGAAATTTAAAAATCAGGATAAATGTTTTTCCTGGGGATTGTATTGTGCTTTTGTGCTGTATCACACAGTATCAATTGTAGTGATTCCCTAGGATTAATGCCCATTTTAAGCATCCTAGATAATAAAATGAGGAAAGAGCAGCAGCTTTTTGGTTACAGTCAATTCTGTATGTTGGAGCTCTTCTCAAAATTACAAATACTTGTATATTTGGTTAAGTAGTTTTAGCACTTCACAGTCTGCCCTACATCCCCTTATGTTCATGCTGCTCTAAACACACAGGCTGAGACACGGAGAAGAAGAAACGGGCCGGGGCAGGTGGAAGGAGAAAGCGGCTTTCCTTGGGCTGCGTTGTTACACTGTGATTCTAGGGATCTACATTATGACTTACATGGAGTTCAGACCTGGGGATCCCTTTCCTTTGCTCTCAGCACTGTCCCTGAGAGCACAGTAAGATAAAATGATCTCCTGAAGGAGCTTACAACTCAAATAGATTAAAAATAAAAAAATTAGAAGCAAGGAAATAAAAATCAGAATTGAAAGAACTTGCCCAAGGTCAAATAGTAACTCAGTGGCAGAGCCTCAAATGAAGCCCAGGACTTCTGGCTCATGCTTAGTGCCTGTCCTAATGCCTGTTTTTTCCACAAGAAGCTGGTTTTCCATTGGTTTTTACTGCTGGAAGAGGAGTTATGGGAGTCACCTTCTGGTTTCCATTTTGGTCATTCTTCAAGGCACGTCTTGATAACTCTTCTCAACAAACGAGCTTGAACTATGAATGAGCTGAAATTAATTGAAAATGCTGTCAATGTGCCAGTATTTCTTCAAAAGTTGACCTGTAGATACAAACTGTGCCTTGCACATGTCACTTTATGCAAGAGATCATTGGATTTTACTAAAAGGTGCACAGATAGTATAACGCTGAAAAATTGCTAATTAGTAATTGTGAATACTTTAAAAAGAGCAAGGCATGAATATGTTCCCATAAAATATTCATTGAAAAAGCTCAAATAATGAAAATAATGCTTAAAATAAAAAGGTGTGAGTAGATAATTAATTAAGAAAAAAGTAAATTGGTCTTAAATTGTTTGCTATGGATAGTTAGCCCATTTAATAAGAATTATCATCTTCCAGGCAAATGGCAGATAGCTAGTAAATAGGTTTTTCCTAGGAACTGGCTAGAGGCAAGAGCAGCTCTCCGCACATCTTAAGTTTTACTCACTTGTCATTTTGAAGTCAATTTAGAGCTCCTGGCAGTTTATATAATCTTAAGCCACTCTTCCCACTTTTGTTGCAGAATTCTCAATCAGGTCGAGTCTTTTTTAGTTACATTTGCTTCTTATTTCATTAAGAAGAAAATATTTTAGTAACAAGGTGTGCCTTTGGTTTTGAGTTACCATGATGAGAGAGCAGTCAGGTTGTGTCTTCATCACAGAACATATGCTTTTAAAACATTGCTGTTAAGAATCACCTTAAGTAGCATGATGTTGGCCATGATTTCTCAGGTACTTTTTCCTACAGTTTACGAGACCACTGATAATCCATGTGTCACTGTCCCACGTGACTGAGAGGGAGATGCCTCAGCGTGATGCAGGGGCGGCGGGGGGACTGG